GAATTTGAGAATGATTATTGTAGAGTACAATGGAAATTAGGCATGATTGCTTAACTGATGCGAGATATCACTGAAGCAAATCATGGCTTATGTATATAGGATCGCTTAAGCGATATATAACATCTCTTAAACGATCTATTGTTATTATATTATTTTTGTTAGTTCTTGGCAAGAAAGTAATATATAAAAAATATAAGATTAATATAAAATTGAACTCTGCAACCATATGCTTTGCACTCTGTAGACCAAGAGAGTGCCAGAATTTTTCAAAAACTTTTCCAGTATGAAGAACGGCTCGCTCCTATTATCACAATAAGTTTTTCAACACAACTGCTATAACCTTTCTTAAGCGACCAAGGCTAAATAGACGGGATCACTTAAGTGATTAAGGGTAATTTACTTCGTCCATATCTTAACTCTTAACATCTTTATGTTCTAAAGAAAAAGTTTAAAAACTAACAAAAACACCCCCACCCACCCATATTGACCAGATTCCGACGATTGGCTGTCGGAATATGGTCAGAATCTGGTATAATGACGCACTACTGACTTCATCTTGCTGGTAATGCGTCGATCTATAATTTTTTGGCCAGTTACAGCCTAAGATGATCTGGCCATTGACGACCAGATCTTTGGCCATAATTGGTCATCAACGACGGCCAAGGTATGGTGGCCGTCGTTGACAACCAAACATGGCCACATCTGGCCATAGATCTGGCCGAAAATTTGCATCTTGGGGTACGCCTAGCTAGTTTCAGATAGTTCTGTGCCGATACGGCGACTCCGTCACCTCTGGTAGTGGTTGCCGACTGCCGAAATTTAATGAGTGAGTGGGGGTGTTTTTGTAACTTTAATGTTTTCATTATAGGGATGTTAGTTATTTAACAAACCTAAGGGGTGTTTTGTTAATTTTCAAATCTTACACTGGGTCTGGCTTAAGCGATGATTTCTTTGCACTTACACAGGGTCGCTCGATCGCTTAAGCGATCAAGTCTGACGTAGAATCAATATCTGCCAGATGCACGATCACTTAAGCGATTCTTTGATTTTACATAGTGTCACTTAAGCAATTTTAGATCACTTAAGTGATGAAGTGAAAAAAAGAAGAATCGCTTAAGTGATGAAGTTCGAGGCAGAATCAATATCTGCCCAGTTGCATGATCGTCTAAGCGATCACTAATATCACTTAAGCGATTTTCTCTTTTTCACTTTGTCGATTAAGCGATCGTAGATCGTTTAAGCTATCATGTGATGGGCAGAATCAATATCTGCCCAGGTGCACGATCGCCTAAACAATCCATGATATCGCTTATGCAATCCTTTATGAGAAACCCTTTGTCGCTTAAGCGATCATGGGCAATACATACTTTTCCATCTTTTCTCCTGAATTTTGACAAACTAAAATTACCAACACATATTAATTCCATACTTTCTCCTCAATTTGACAACCTAATTTCAAACTAAAATCACCAACACATATTTACGCCATGTAACAAGAATACTAAATATAAAGAATGATTTATTCAAGGTAACAATAAAATTTAAAACATCAATAATTGAAAACAATAACTCATCAACGGTTGACCTTGCCAACTCCCTCAATTTCATTCTTTTTCGAACCTAATTTTCTGGATCTGCATGTGATTACTTTTGGCAACAGCTTCTCTTGTGGCCAGGTTCCTTGCAAATTGAGCACTTATTCATCTTCCGGGGAACCTCCAAGGCTGATGGAATACGCTTAACTCTTTTTCTCCCCTTTGCTGTCTTCTTGAATGGCGGATGGATGATAATGTCAGCCAACTCTAGCCACACTACCCACTGCTCTTCTGGAGGCACTAAATATATCATTTCTGAATAAGCTATCATGTAGTGATTTGCCATATAGAGAGGACAACAAAGTTCCATGTAAATTCTTGAACCAAATCCGGCTTCCGTTGGTGTTTCAGTGCTGCTAGTGAATGAGGACAAGGTAAACGTTGAATGTCAAGCACTTTACAGCTACAAGTTTTACTAACAAGGTTAACTAGGGCATCCCAACCATAGTCGCGCATAGTGAACTCTTGAACATTAAAAGGATAAGAAAACAGTGCATTTGACAATTCCATACGTTCTCGCAATAATTTTTCAGCTGACGGAACAAGGGTTGTAGTAAAATTATCTGACTCCATACGACGCTCATGGAACCACAAAGACAATGTAATATGGATTGCATCAAAAAGTGCAACTATTGGAAACTCTCTTTCTATTAACAACTTCGAATTTATGGGCTCAGCTATATTCATTGTCATGACATCAAACTTTCTTCCAGGAAAGTAAGCTCTACTCCATCACTCGAAACCAACATCATGCTCAAGATACTTAGCAACTCTATCATCCTTGATTTGGATTTGTTGGAAGTGCTTCTCGAACTCATCAACCCGATAAGCTTTTGCTGCCATGTAATATGTCTGAAGGAGGCCTGCACACTTAAATTTTTGTTTTATGTTCTCACCAAGGTGCCTCATACATAATCTGTGATGTGCTTGACGGTAAATAGTGGCAATCCCCTTCTTTATAAAATTGTGCGTATCGAATATTATGCACAATTCGTCACTATCAGACACTATCATACGTAATTGCTGAAAAAACCAAGTCCACGACTTGTCATTCTCAGAGTCAACCACACACCATGCAATAAGATATGTGTGATTCTCGATGTCCTATGCAGTGGCCACCAATAATGTACCTCCATACTTTCCCGTCAAAAAGCAACCATCAATAGCCAACACCTTTCTCATGTTTACAAAACCCCTTATAGCAGAACCGTAAGCAACAAAAAAAATATTAAAACATCATATTCCTGTCCCACTTCAAAGTCGTCTTACTACCTTGGTTTGTCAACTCAAGCATATAATGGTACACTTCTAATACTGCGTACCCATGCTCCATCGTGCCCCTCACAAAATCTTGTGCATGTTGTCTCCTTTTCCAACATTTCCAGTAACTAGCAGCACATCCCAACTCTGTGCGCCCAAGTCTCTGAATGTCTTTAGGAGATGGACATTTCCCTTCAACAAACTGACTTTTGACAAATTGTCCAATAACATCAGCAGAGGCTTGTCGATGCTCACCTGAAATATGTCCCAAACCACATGTGTGCTCACAGGTATATGTGCTAAGAATAATTTTTTTCTGACTTCGCCAACCTTCTACAATAAACCCGCCACTTGCACTTTCAGTCACGACATGCAACCATCACAGCCAATGAATTTGACTTTTTGGTCATGAACTCAAAACTACCTCTCATGGCAACAAGTTTTAGCTTTCTCACAACTTCCTCTTTGTTGTCAAATAAATACCCTATGCGCAACTCTGATCCATCCGTAAAAACATGAGCTGATTCACTACTACCTGCAATTGCCCCTTCTGAACTTGCATAAGCGACCATAGTGTTCTCTTCCTCACAAACTACAGCTTCTGTATAATTTATATTTAAAGGAATCTCTACATCTATGGGAACATGTACGGGGTCCTCCTCTTCAACATTTTCATTCTGCCCCCCATGATCAACCTCTTCTATAGTGTCCTCCTCACCACCTAATTCACCGTCTACTCTTGATTTTTCAACTAAAAAATCAATGCCCTCATAGTTCAAATTAAAACCAAGCAAATCTCCACCAACTTCCTCGTTATCCCCTTCCTTTGAACCAACTTCCAATGGTTTTTCTGCAAAAGAAACCCTTGAAATCGGCCTTGAACCATTATCGGCCACATCAATCATATATAACTTCACACTTTCATCCAACTTTAATATAACAAAAGGTACCTTATAAAGTTCAAAAACTCTGCTTAAAACATACTTCACAACTATATCACTACGTGAGCAACTCAAATCACTTCTTCTAATTATTTCATCAACCAACTCATCAAAGCTAACCTCTATGCTCATAGTAATTGGTATAACTTCTTTGCTCTTTCCAATCCACTTCTAGCTACTTTCTTCCTCCACCCACTCACCAAAATATTCAACACCCAAAACAACTTATCCCATGTCTAATAATAGTTAACTACCTATAATGCAAGAAAAAAAATATTCTTAACTGATGTACTAAGGGTTGAAATATTTTAAAAAGCATCTGCACAGTCACTTGACAGATCTGGTGTATCGCTTAAGCGATCTGGTATATCTTATACTGGATCGCTTAAGCGATCCAGTATAATTAAACATGATCGCTTAAATGATCTTATGCCATTTATTGATCGCTTAAGCGATCTACTGCTATACACCAAACTTTTAGCAGATTGCTTAAGCGATCTTATGCCACATACTAGATCGCTTAAGCGATCTATCTGCGGCATTACCAGCATACCAGATCGCTTAAGTGGTCCATCATATCCAGAATACATTTGCAGTCATTTCTACCTACAATCGGTGCTACCACCCCCAGCTACCCATAATGTAAGAAATTTTTCAACAAATTTCACTCCTTTCAACTTCCATTACATCAAACACAACCCAAAAACCTAAACAACTAAATCAAAATTATAACCCAAGCCCAATCCATCATTAAATCTTTGTAAATCGAAATATAAAATCGATAGAGGAGATACACATACCTGGACGAAATGTCAGGAGGAGGAGGAGGAAGAGGACGACGATATGTGTTGGAGAAGATGTTAATGGCGGAGGAATGCGTTAATGTGGCGGGAGGAAGAAGAAGAACGTGTTTGGGTTTGTTTGCAAGAATTTTGACTCTTTAGGGACATATTATAATTTTTAAAAGATTATACAATTATTCATTAATCCTAATTAACCCCTAATCATGTTTAATTAAGCTTAATAAAAAACAAGGCTATATTCAGTTAACTTTTACAAACTATATAGCCGTTTAATTAAATTTTAACTTCAAATGGTTTTAATAAAATCCCCGCCATTCCGTGTATCATCTTGATGATATCTTGTTCTGCCATGAACCTTCATCCATTTGTTAATCAATTTAGTTAGCTTTTTAACTTCATTTGTCCAGGAATTTTATGTGGAACAATTTAACCGGCAGCATACCCAAGGAGATAGGCAATCTGATTACTTTAAAGCTTCTGTAAGCATCAAATTACAAGCTTTTAAGTCGAGTGATAACTTTATAGTTTGATGCCGAGTTATCATTTAACTTAATTTTTAACTACTCCGTGAAAATTTCGAACCTATATACGGAAGTGTATTTTTCATTTGCATGCAGGCTTCTGAGCGGAAATCAAATATCAGGGCCTATACCAGATGAGCTTGGTTCTCTTTCTAATGTAACAATATTAAACCTGGACATTAACAATATTTCTGGACCACTGCCAAAAACTTTGGCAAATATGACCAGTGCCGGACACTTGTAAGTGCCTTCTAGTTAGCCAAATACTTTAATAAAAGCAATTATTCATGATGTTTTTAATTGCAGTCATTTGAACAACAACTCAATCAGTGGTCAGATTCCACCAGAGCTTTCTGCATTACCTCAACTCTTACACTTGTGAGTTCATTACATTTTTATTGATGTTGCTTTATTTTACACAATGAGTATGTTTCTGTTGTTGCAATGACATAATATTTTGACAAATTTAATTTGCAGCCTGTTGGACAATAACAACTTATCAGGGTATCTTCCGCAAGAATTTTCCAGGATGCCAAACCTGAGGATTTTGTAAGTTCACCGTTCCTTCAAGTTTTCTTGTGTAATGACTATCAGACTCCAGTATCTCAAACATTTTGGTCTCTGGTTAATAACCCCATTTCTCTTATTGTTGCAGACAATTTTATAACAACAACTTTGAAGGTATCGAGATTCCAAATTCTTATAAAAACATGCCCAAACTGGTGAAGCTGTAATCTCTCTCCCTTCCCATGGATATTTCTTTTATTTTTTATCTATACACTGCCAAGTGCTAAAATATACATATGAAGGCAATAGGTACACAAAAACTGAAGGATCAATAACATTGTGCTTATTTCTTTCCTTTCAACTCAACACGAGTCTTAGGAACTGCAGAATGCAAGGAACTATTCCTGATTTAAGCAGTATACCAAACCTTCTTTACTTGTAAGTCTGCAGGAAGTTGTTGATAATTCTTAGCACTAAATGATGGTTATATCTTTTAGTTGAACAAAGCTAGTCAAAATTATAATTTATCTCCACAGTATTTTAGTTGGTCAATGAAGACCCGGCCCACCTGATAAGGTATACGCTGGCCAGGTTGAACCCGGTTTAATGTAGGTCGGCTTAGGGTTGACCTGCCTAACCCGGCCCATTTGTTCCACCTCTAGTCTTTCTCTTTATGTACAGTTTATAATAATTATAGGGCTTTCTAAAATCCTATAAGGAAGTTGGAATATGGCACCTTCCTCAGTTACTTGAAAGACAAAGTCGTCCCCGACCTAGTTCTTCAAGTCTCAATCTCCATTAATCCAAAATGATCTTGTGGATTACTATTTACTTATCACTATCATCAATGATCTACCTAAGAGTATTACTCATTTTCATGGTATGCAAAACTTTGTAGTTCAATAAATATAGTTAATCATAGTTGGTTGCATTTCTTAAACTTAACTGGCAAGGGTTCTCAAACCTGTCTTGTTGCAGTCATTCTCAAAGATCAAAAATCAGGCATGAGCAAAGGTGCTGTGACTGGAATTGTGTTAGGGTCCATTACTGGCCTAATTGCAATATCTTTGGTCACGTTGTTTATTTTCTACAAAAAGAAATCAAAACACAAGCAAGAGGTTTCAAAGAAACAGTCAAGTAAGTTCTTTTGTATTTGCCTTGATCTAGAAGGCTACCTTCTCTTGTATTTATATTTAGAAGCATAAATGATGTTTCTTTTAACAGTTGCAAAAATTCCAATCAAAATTGCAAGTGTCAAGGGATTTAGTTTCACAGAACTTGAAAAAGCTACCAGTGGTTTTAGTGAGTCCAGTCTAGTTGGTCAAGGAGGCTATGGTAAGGTTTATAAAGGCATTTTGGACAATGGCATAGCTGGGGCAATCAAGAGGGCACATCAAGGATCCTTGCAGGGAGAGAGAGAATTCTTAACTGAAATAGAAATTTTGTCGCGTTTACATCATCGCAACCTCGTTTCATTGGTTGGATATTGTGATGAAGAAGGCGAGCAGGTACTTTATCCATTGCCACTTCTGGAAATATTATGCATTATCAGAAAATTTTTGATACTCTCCTCATAACATGCCTTGAGTTTTAGAACAAGTTAAAATTCCTCAAGTGAAAAAAGATACACTTAACAGTAGGTAGTGAGCTTCATTAACTGCTAATACTCAAAAGTATCCTTGATTTTGTGTTTGCAGATGTTAAAGTTTCCATTATTGAAATGGTTATTTACTATTGTGATGTTATTAGAATAATATTAACGATTGGATTGATCCAACTTATCAAAAATACGATCATTTATCCAACATTTGAAATGGTCTATTTACATTATGAAAATGATATACATATAAGTAGTGCTTTCAATAATAAACTGTTAAAACCGGCAATGTAAATCACTCAAATCTAACATGTATATATTTATATCATTATTCATATACATGTTCACATATTCATGAAGATTTGCAGAAGCAAAATAATTTATTCACTAACCTCTAGCTATAGCAGTTTGTTGTTGTTGTGTTCTTCAAAGGTTACAGACTCTTCCAATGCACTGCAATTCTTAGGACAATGGTTTTGGGGAAATCAGAATAATTGTGTGTATTAGGGACCTGTAACTGTTCCCCATTTTAAAGTATGCAGAAGTCTTTCCATCAAAGACAACTATTAGGGATAACTGCTGACAACTGCTCAGTAGTTTAAATTTTTATATAAAGCTAATATATATAAAAGTGAAGGACCAAGTAGTAATTTTAGGGCAATGAATTTTGATTAATTAAAATTCTAACGTTCTCCCACTTGGTCCAAACTTTTCTTACACCATTCACAACATAGTAGTTTTATATTCTTTATGTTTAATTAGAAAAATAGAATTGCATGAATCATAGCGGTAATGTAGTACTATGCAATTTTCTTCTTCTAAATAAATGCTTAAATATGGAATATTACTTTATGAACAAACCTCAAATGTTTGTTCTAGGTCATCCATAATGTTTGTTTGTCTCCAACCAAAATGTATACAACTTAAAAGAGAAAACAAACTAAATTACAAAGTTTCAGAGAATGAAAGTATTACCTCTCACAGTGACAAAGCAGGACGTAGTCCCATTTGTATTACATGATCTTTGAACGTCTTTGGTGCCGTGCCTTTTGTAAAAGGATCAACAATCATCTGCCCGGTGTGTATGTGGTCAATGAGCACTTCTTTGGCTTTAATGTGCTCCCTCATTGCTAAGTATTTAATGTTGATGTGTTTACTTCGACTTCCACTCTTATTATTATTAGCAAAGAACATAGCAGCTGAATTGTCACAATACAAACTTATTGGCTTAGAGATAAACTCAACAACTCTAAGCCTAGAAATGAAACTTCTCAACCAAATACCCTGTGTAGTAGCCTCAAAACAGGAAACAAACTCAGCTTCCATAGTAGAAGTGGCAACCAAAGATTGTTTGGTACTTCTCAAAGATATAGCACCTCCAGCTAGCATAAAAACATATCCGGATGTTGATTTCAGAGAATCAACATAGCCAACGAAGTTTGAGTTTGAATATCCGATGACTTCTAAAATGTCAGGCAGTCTATAAGTAAGCATGAAACCTTTAGTTCTTTGAAGATATCTCATGACCTTTTTTGCAGCTCTCCAATGATCTAAACCTGGATTACTTTGATATCTTCCTAACATGCCAATTGCAAAAGCAATATCAGGTCTAGTACAAACCTGAGCATACATTAGGCTATGTTTGTTTACTTATTGGGATTATTATTCTGAAAATTAATCCAATCAAATAAGATTTTTTCTATTGAAAATGAAAATAGGGGGGACTTGTTTCTATTATCTTATTCTATTCAACTCAAAAATTTAGATCATTTTAACCCCTTATATTTGTTAATTTAGCTAAACATCCCCCACAATAAAAGTTTAAAAATTAATTAAAGCACCTCAGCTAGCAACCACCGTCGACCGCCAGTGCAGGAACGACGCACGACCAGTTGAATCTGATCAATCTTGCCATTGCCAACTAGATCTATGACCAGAGATCTTGCCATTGATGTCTCCATTTTTGGGGGGTTTTTTGTTAATTTTTAAAGTTTTATTGTGAGGGTGTTTAGTTAAATTAACAAATGTAGGGGTTTAAAAATAATTTAAATATTTTCAGAAAATGTTTTCCAAAAATGTATTAAACAACTATTCAACATTTTATCTAACTCTGATATAATTTTCAAATATTATACCAAATATATTCTTAGAACCTTATCTTATTATATTTAATCCAACTCAACTCAAATTAAAATAGTTTTTCAAAATCAATAATAATAGGTCCATAACTTTCTCTCACAACCTCCGACATGACAGTTCATCATTTGTTTGCTTGCAAATGGGTTGACAGGACTCATTTTATGAGCTGACCAATGACAAGCTGCCACATCAAGAGTTGTGAGAGTAGGTTCTGAACCTAAGATAGAATAGAATCCTATCATATTCTATTTAATCCAACTCATCTCAACTTAAAATAGTTTTTCTGAATATCATATTTTAAATAATCTACCAAACAGCCCTAAGTGATTTAAGTTTGAATATTTAACTATTCTATAAACTATCCTGAGAGCCACTAATCTAATAATGGGTCCCCACATATAAGTCCAGGGGACATCTGAATGCCTGAAAGGAGATAGATATTATAATTTGCATCAAGTATCTTTCAGGCTGTCAAACAGTTGACGAGTTTAGGCAGAGAATTAAACAACGCAGATCTTTATGTTGGTTTAACAATCTAATGTAATCCTATAAATGGACGTGTTAATACTTGATTTTGACACTAATGACTCGCACGTGCAAAGTGCTAAGCTGACTTAGAAATTAAACGTGAATGGAAAATGCAATGAAGTAAATGGAAGATGATTTTTAAAGTGGTTCGGATGCTTAAAGTGAATCCTACGTCCACTGTTCTTTTATATATATGAGGTTACAGGAGATCGCGTATAGCGAATAGCGAGCAGAGGTACAAGTGATTGATTATTCAGAGAGAAATCAAGTCAATTTCTTTCTCGCAGGAATGCGGGTTTATTATCAGAATCCTGAAAATGAGAGAGAGAACCCTCTATTTATAGTACAAGGTTTCAGGGTAATGATTACAAGTCTGCAAGTGGACAGGTGTAGTACAATTCTTACCGCCCTTCCCATTGGCTGATTACATGGCAGATATCCTCAAATAGCACAAGGCTTGGACAGTTGGACGACTCCTATCTACTCATAGACAAAGCCTGAGTCTGTCAAGTTGATGACAACTATACTCATTCTGTCTTTTTAATGATGTGGTAACTCCAGGATGGCACAAAACCTTCCTGAACTCTGATTGGTGTTAGCTGACGTAAGCTCACATCAGCCTTGACTTTTTAGGCATAACAGGATGAAATCATTTGTTCATGGAAGGGCACTAACTTGACCTAGTATATTACAGCAACAGTTTTCAGAAAGGTGACACCATAAATGGCCACAATTTGAGTGGCTATCAAATTTGTAGACTTAGCTTTATGTGCACCAAGAACAGGAGTTTTTAAGAACTGGCCAACTGGAGTTAAATTTCCTCCGACCTAGTTCTTCATGTCTTAATCTCCATTAATCCAAAATAATCCCAAACTGGGAAGTGCCAACTTACCGAATCCATTTACTTTGTTTATCTAAAATTATATTTTCTTGACTCAATCTTCTCCCATTCTGAGCTCACCCCTATTTTCCAGGCATAAAAATGGCTTTCATCCTCTTTTTACGTCAACCTTCATGCTTCTTCCGCAAAGTATGGTTTGTTTTGCTTTTCGACTAGCCATTTTAGCGTATCTCTTAATTTTCGAAGTAGTTTAACAGAAAGTGTCAGATTTCTTGTTGCATGGATGCCAAGGTGGAGATTTTCCCTAATTGGGATCATACTTGTTCTACTTCCATGTCACTTTCTGCAACTTGCTTCTGCACAGATCACTCATCCATTGGAAGGTTGGTGTCTCTGTGATTTTTGTTAAGGGAAACTCCAAACTTGGAGTTAATTTTCTTTTATTGGATTCTTAATCTCTTTGAAAAATTATGTATGTCCTGAACTATGCATACAGTTGATGCTTTGCAAGCTGTCCGCCGAGCACTCAACGATACAGGGAAAAACCTCAATAGCTGGAAAAAGACTGATCCATGTGTATCAAATTGGACGGGAGTAATCTGCTTAATGGATCCAAATGATGGCTATCTCCACGTCCAAGAACTGTAAGTTGATAAATATGACGATTTATGCATACAGTAGATAGCACATTTATAAATTGAACACACTGATGGATTGTTTGGACTAATACATTTTCTTGTTTTTCTTTTTTTTCTTGGTTTCTCTCACAATACAGGCGGTTGCTAAACATGAAACTTTCTGGGAAACTAGCTCTGACACTTGGGTTGTTTTCTCATATGACCGTATTGTGAGTCATGCCATTCTGTGTATCATCTAGATGATATCTTGTTCTACCATGAACCTTCATCCATTTGTTAATAAATTTAGTTAGCTTTTTAACTTCATTTGTCCAGGTATTTTATGTGGAACAATTTAACCGGCAGCATACTCAAGGAGATAGGCAATTTGATTACTTTAAAGCTTCTGTAAGCATCAAATTACAAGCTTTTAAGTCGAGTGATAACTTTATAGTTGGATGTCGAGTTATCATTTAACTTAATTTTTAACTACGTGAAAATTTCGAGCCTATATATGGAAGTGTATTTTTCATTTGCATGCAGGCTTCTGAGTGGAAATCAAATATCAAGGCCTATACCAGATGAGCTTGGTTCTCTTTCTAAAGTAACAATATTAAACCTTGACAGTAACAATATTTCTGGACCACTGCCAAAAACTTTGGCAAATATGACCAGTGCCGGACACTTGTAAGTGCCTTCTAGTTAGCCAAATGCTTTACAAAAAGCAATTATTCATGATGTTTTTAATTGCAGTCATTTGAACAACAACTCAATCAGTGGTCAGATTCCACCAGAGCTTTCCGCATTACCTCAACTCTTACACTTGTGAGTTCATTACATTTTTATTGATGTTGCCTTATTTTACACAATGAGTATGTTTCTGTTGTTGCAATGACATAATATTTTGATAAATTTAATTTGCAGCCAGTTAGACAATAACAACTTATCAGGGTATCTTCCGCAAGAATTTTCCAGGATGCCAAACCTGAGGATTTTGTAAGTTCACCGTTCCTTCAAGTTCTCTTGTGTAATGACTATCAGACTCCAGTATCTCAAATATTTTGGTCTCTGGCTAATAACCCCAGTTCTCTTATTGTTGCAGACAATTTGATAACAACAACTTTGAAGGTACCGAGATTCCAAATTCTTATAAAAACATGCCCAAACTGGTGAAGCTGTAATCTGTCTCCCTTCCCATGGATTTTTCTTTTATTTTTTAATTATGCACTGCCAAGTGCTAAAATATACATATGAAGGCAATAGGTAAACAAAAACTGAAGGATCAATAACATTGTGCTTATTTCTTTCCTTTCAACTCAACAAGAGTCTTAGGAACTGCAGATTGCAAGGAACTATTCCTGATTTAAGCAGTGTACCAAACCTTCTTTACTTGTAAGTCTGCAGGAAGTTGTTGATAATTTCTTTGCAATAAATGATGGTTATATCTTTTAGTCGAACAAAGCTAGTCAAAATTATAATTTATCTCCACAATATTTGTCATTCAGCATTTATATGACATCATCTGTGCACAATTCCAAGTATTGATTTGAAAAATTGTTGAATTTACATAACTAGCTCTTAGAAGATTAACTAAGACTTTCTTAAGAGTTGGATTCATGTTATCTGACCTCGATTACTTTTCATGTTACAGAGATCTTAGCTCGAATCAACTTACCGGAAGCATACCAACAAATAAGCTTGCCAACAATATCACAACTATGTATGCCATTGTCAATGTTCCAAGTTCCTTACACATGCTACATTTTTTCATATATACATTGATATGATAAAAGTAACTTGTTTTGTTTTCAATGTTGCAGTGATCTATCCAATAATATGCTTACTGGACCTATCCCCTCAAATTTTTCAGGCTTTACTTTTCTCCAGAGACTGTAAGAGGCTCTCCTCATTTTTATTCTCACTTTTTTTTTTTTTTTTAATTGAAAATCTTAAGAATTCCTTAATAATTAGAAAGCTATATACGGTTAGAAATTTATCTTCCATATGAAATAATTAAGAATGACAGTTTATATCTTCCATATGAAATAATTAATAAAGCTAGTTTGAAATTTATTGCAGGTCACTTGAAAACAATAATTTGAGTGGTAGTGTTCCCTCAAACATTTGGCAGAATGTTAATTTTCGTGCAAATGCGACACTTACCTTGTAAGACAAGAAACAGTTATATGGTTTTTATTTGCTCAGTTTTGAGATTAACTAAATCAGGAACAGTGGTCGAACATCAATACTCCAATTCAAGTTACCTGAATTCTCATAAGATCTTCTTTGTTTCTATGTTTTTCTTGCAGGGATTTCCAGAATAATTCGCTTACAAATGTTTCGGGTACTATAGATCCTCCTTCAAATGTCACCATTAGGTTAGTATTTGTAGTCTTTGCAAATAGAAATCCATTTAAGAAATTTATTTGACTTATCAGTTGGAATTTTCTGGACTGCTTAGGCTTCAGGGCAATCCTGTTTGTACAAATGCAAATGAATTCAACATAGTTCAATTCTGTGGACCCAATATCGGAGATGATGAGGTTTCTGGAACTTCAAATAACACTTCTAATCCTACCTGCCCCCAACAGTCCTGTCCGACAAGTTTGCATATGGAATATGTCCCAGAATCACCTGCTTCCTGCTTCTGTGCTCTGCCTCTCGGAGTTGATGTACGTTTGAGAAGTCCTAGCATATCTGATTTTCGCCCATACATGAATGCATATATGCTTTACGTGACCTCCAGTCTTGGCTTGAATCGTTATCAACTACTTATCAACTCATTTTTATGGCAAAAGGGTCCTAGGCTATTGATTAGCTTAAAGGTTTTTCCTCAGTATATCAATAGTACTACCAATGAATTTAACAAGAATGAGGTCTATCGGATTATGGACCTAATTGCTACATTTACTCTTCCTTTGAGTGATGTCTTTGGCCCAAATGAACTGATCAATTTTACTCGCCATGGACCTTATGCAGCTGGTAAGTCTCAAGACTGCAAAATTTTCCAATTAAAATTGTAGTTCCAGTTACATTTCTGGTCTGCGTATTCTTGTGGATTACTATTTACTTATCACTATCATCAATGATCTACCTAAGAGTATTACTCATTTTCATGGTATGCAAAATTTTGTAGTTCAATAAAATATAGTTAATCATATTTGGTCGCATTTCTTAAACTTAACTGGCAAGGGTTCTCAAACATGTCTTGTTGCAGTCATTCTCGAAGATAAAAAATCAGGCATGAGCAAAGGTGCTGTGATTGGAATTGTGTTAGGGTCCATTGCTGGCCTAATTGCAATATCTTTGATCATTTTGTTTATTTTCTACAAAAAGAAATCAAAACACAAGCAAGAGGTTTCAAAGAAACAGTCAAGTAAGTTCTTTTGCATTTGCCTTCTCTTTTATTTATATTTAGAAGCATAAATGATGTTTCTTTTAACAGTTGCAAAAATTCCAATCAAAGCTGCAAGTGTCAAGGGATTTAGTTTCACAGAACTTGAAAAAGCTACCAGTGGTTTTAGTAAGTCCAGTCTAGTTGGTCAAGGAGGCTATGGAAAGGTTTATAAAGGCATTATGGATAATGGCAAAGCTGTGGCAATCAAGAGGGCACAACAAGGATCCTTGCAGGGTGAGAGAGAATTCTTAACTGAAATAGAAATTTTGTCGCGTTTACATCATCGCAACCTCGTTTCATTGGTTGGATACTGTGATGAAGAAGGCGAGCAGGTACTTTGTCCATTGCCACTTCTGGAAAAATTATGCATCATCATAAATTTTTTGATACTTTCCTCATAACATGCCTTGAGTTTTAGAACAAGATAAAATTGCTCAAGAAAAATAAGATACACTTAATAGTAGGTAGTGAGCTTCATTGACTGCTAATACTCAAAAGTATCCTTGATTTTTGTGTTTGCAGATGTTAGTATATGAGTTTATGCCTAATGGTTCTGTTCATGACCTCCTATATGGTAAATCCTATGATTTTTTCCCCAGTTTACTATTGCAAAACTTGGTTTTGTTCTACCACTTGCAAACTATATCATGATGTGAATTCGATATTGTTGGTGTTATGACAGGTAGATTCCGAAATCCTATTGAGTTTCGCCATGAGATTGCATATTGCATTGGGTTCAGCCAAAGGCATTATCTACCTCCATAAAGAAGCTGACCCACCCATCATCCATAGAGATATCAAGGCAAACAACATATTGTTGGACTCCAAATTTACTGCAAAAGTTTCTGATTTCGGAATCTCAAAGCTTGCACCAGTTCCAACTAATTCAGGAGGTGAAGGTCATGTGTTCACTGTTGTGAGAGGCACCCCAGTAAGTACATTATTGAAACCCAGTTATGAAATTTGGATTTCTCAAGTCATCTTTCTCATATCGATCCTTTAAATGATAGAACACTGAACACCTAGGCTTCAAATTTTCAGAGTGAATTTGAAACCCACTTTATCTTCCTATTGTAGGGCTACCTTGATCCTTAGTACTTCCTCACTCACTAGTTAACAGAGAAGAGTGATGTTTATAGCCTCGGAATTGTTTTTCTCGAGTTGTTGACAGGAATGAAGCCTATTTCTCATGGTAGAAACATTGTCCAGCAGGTACTAATTTTTTTTTAAAACTTTTTTCCCAGCACTCTCCAATATGACTTCGTTCACACGGTAACGTCTGAGAAGATGCCATGATTTTAATGCAACAACAGGTGAATTCAGCATGTCAATCTAGGATGATTTACTCTGTGATAGACAACGGCATGGGTCATACTCTTCCGAATGCCTCACAAGATTTATGGCATTAGCCCTCAAGTGTTGTGAGAATGAGACAGAGCGTAGACCTTCAATGCTGGAAGTTGTGAGAGAATTAGAGAACCTATCTTCAATGCTTCCAGAATCAGAAACTATCCAAACATATTCAGATATCTCAGCCTTAGGATCCTCAGGAATCCCCACATCATCTGTCTATTCTGGAAGAAACTCATACGTGTCTGGTGACTTTCCTGAAGCTGGAAGCGACCTTGTTAGTGGTGTTGTCCCCACCATCAAGCCTCGCTGATTCCCACCAGTTTCTTTATGGAACTTTAATATCTAGAATCACTATTACTATTGTTATTATATCTCCTTTTTTGCAGAAATAAAGTGAACTCTGATTTATGTGTGTATCAGTTTGTATATAGCTGAATGTAGAGTTCAGAGGTCATGTTCATGAGCTGTAAATAATACATATTTATGCTTTTTTATTAGAGCCACTTTTATATTTGTTAATCTGTAAAGAACTTTCCATAGAAACAAATAGAAAGACTATGAGGTAGGAACCCACGTCCAAATTGATATTAATTGGCTGGGTGATGGGCCTTTTATAGGGTTGGGCAATAGGCCTTTTGTGGGCTTGGATAGAACTCTCCTTGGAAAACTGGCTCGCCGAGGGAGGATGCTCAAGCTTTTTATAACCCACATGCCCACTATTTTCTTTTCCAATGTGGGATCCTAACACACCATCACGTGTCCGCAACCAACGTCAACGTTGGCCTCTTTACCCTTGGGTAACTACACGGATCCCCTTTCCATCGGGCCTCCATGCCCTTTCTCGGGGTAGCAACTCGGGCCCAAGGTTAACTTGCCACGTAGGCGATGTCCACGTGGGTGTAGGATCATGCTCTGATACCAATTGATAGAAACCACTCCCAAATTGATATTAATTGGCTAGGCAATGGGCGTTTTGTAGGAATTAGACTGGGCAATGGACCTTTTGTGGGATTGGATAAAACCCTCCTTAGAAAATTGACTTGCCAAGGGAGGGCTTAACTAATCCTCTAGGACCTTGGAATTGCCAGCCGAGTAAGAGCCCTCGTGGTCATCTTTATTAGTGCCTAGGAAGACTCAAACTCAAAAACTCATGAAACCTCTTTTTGCTCTTTTACCATCAGACGACCTAGTGGTGGTTCATAATAAAGAATGGTTGCTATGAATCCCAAGGTAAATTTGTTGTTGCCAAAGCGAATTTCAAAATAACTATTTTTAAACTTTGTATTACATTAGCAGAGTAGTTGGGATGCCCTGAACACTACAAATGTGCCGTTTGGATCTAGGGTAATATTAGTTTAATTTTGCAAGATTTATATGTTTGGTTTGCAAGTAATAAAATATTACGGTAATCTTTTATTGCAAATAGCGGTTACTGCTGGTAATGTAGGGGGTAATCATATTACCTTGCTAGAGGCTATTATTAAAACATTACCCGGGTAATATGATTTTTCTTCCCATTTTGCCCTTAATTAAAAACTATTTCGGACACAATTTCCCTCAAATGTCTAACAAATAACAATTAGCCATGCCCCTGTACATTTGAGAAATTAGCTAAAACACCCTAGCCACAAAAAAGTTTAAAACTTAACAAAATACCCTCAACCACCCAAGACCACCTTTGGCCGTGACTCACCACCGTCGGCCATTGGCGAAAGTCAAGATTATCCTGATGGTAGAAGGCTTGATTACTGGACTAAATGTCTCGAAATAGTCAAGACTTGGTGTTTGTCGGAAACCTTTAGCAACAAGTCTAGCTTTATACTTTTGTAAAGTGCCATCTGCATTATATTTAACTCTAAATACCCATTTGTTTCCTACTACATTGAGATCAGGAGTGAGAGGAACACGTGTCTAGGTTTCATTCTTGATCAATGCATTGAACTCATCCTACATGACAACTTTCCATTTAACACTGGCTCAAGCGTCAAAAGGAGAGGAAGGTTCTGGTTCAATACTGACATGTGCAGGAAACACAGATCCTGGTGCAGTGTTATTAGTTTCCAATAAGTAGAGCTGCAGATTGATTATGAGAACCGATTGCAGGAAGAGAATAAATTGCTGCTTTAGACTATGCTATTGCTTTTGCTTGTGTGATCATAGGATTTGTGTTGATAGCATCAGATTTTGAGTTAAGAGAAACTTCAGAGATGTCAGCAAACTTAGACAATGATAAATCAACTTCAAGAGGGCAGGAAGGTATTGAGTTAGATGAGGTGATAACTGGCAGGGAAGAGATGGGTAATTCAGGTGAAAGTAGTGAGGAAGTAGATAATTCAATTAAAGTACGAACTGGTGATGAGGAGATGTGAACATAGGAAGTTTTTATTGAGTTAGAATGAGAAATATTTGCTGTGTTAGAATGATTATGTAGCAGGGATTTAGATTTACGTGTCCAAGAGGTAGGAGCTGAGTTAAAAAGTGGTGAGGTAGGTGGAGAATGAGCTTGAGTGGAATCATTAAGGGTAGGTAATGAGTACAAAGGTGCATGCTTAGTAGAGAGTGTAGGTGTAGTTTTATTACCTGCTACTGTATCACTACGATTGTGCTGTGAAGGACTAACTGCTAAAGAACAAGGGGCAAGTCTAGTTGAAGAACCATGAGTATGTATAGTAGTATGAATAGGTGAATGCACAAAAATGAAAGGAAAGGATGAATATGAAATGGAAAAATTTAAATCAATAGAAGAAGGACTAGATTCAGATGATAAAAACACATTTCCATGAGAGAATGGAAATTCACATTATTTAAATTTGACACTTGGTGTGATAAAAAGTTTGCCATTAGGTTTTAAACATTTATATCCTTTATGCACTAAGCTATAACCACAAAAACACATTTCACAATATGAAAATCAAATTATGTTTGTTGAGAGTTCTAAGAAAAGGGAAACAAGAACAGCAAAACACTTTAAGATGTGCATAAGTAGGAGTAGTTTGAAAAGGCTTTTGATAGGTGATATATCACCAAGAGTGTGTGTAGGTATTCTATTTATAAGGAATACAGTAGTCTCAAACGCCAGCCACCAAAATTGCAGGGGCATGGAGGCATGTGCAAGGCGAGTTAAACCTGTCTCAACAAGGTATCTATGTTTTCTTTTGGGTTTGCCATTTTGCTAATGAAAGTAAGCACATGAATGCTTGAATTGAATTCCTAAACTAGTGAGATAAGAGTGGAGAGCAATGTACTCTCCTTCTTGGTAAGATTGCAAGCATTTAAGCTTGTGACCAAATTGTCTCTCCGCCAAGTGATGAAACTTGATGAGTACTGACTTAACTTTAGCCTTGGTCTAAAAGGAAATAATCAAGTGTATCTACTATAATCATCAAGAAACTGGACATAATGGCTAAAACCCTCAAAGGACAATAAAGGTGTAGGTCCTTACACATGACTATGGACAAGTTTTAAAGGTGTACTTGCTTGTGATAAAGAAGAGGGAAAACTATTATTATGTACCTTCCCTAATTGGCAAGCATAACAAAACACAAATGTTGGATTTGGTGAAGTATTATAGACTGATTTGAAGGTAAACTAATTTTAGGTGAAGTGTTCTTTGGCAATGTTGTAAGAATTTTATGTAAGATAGTTGAATGTGGATGTCTTAGGCGCTTATGCCAAATCATGTCAGAATTAGCATTAGTAGCAACTAAAACATGTATAGCAGAGTAAACTAAATTGTGATCAGCAGGTTGAACAATCATATTATTTATAGTAGCATCCAAAACACTTGAACTACTAGCTTTAATGATAGTTAATGTATTACATTGTTAAGAGCTGGTACATTGTGTATCATTATTACATTGCATAGGTGACACAACATTATTAGTAGTAGCACAATGCACAGACTTGTTATGAATACTTTGAGAAGCAGTATGCCTATTAGACATGTTACTAGAATGTAAATCACTAGAAAGCAAAGAATTATTGACACAACTAGAACCAGATGCAAATTGTGAAACTAAAGCAGATTTAGGAGACATATGAGATGATGCATTGAAGAACTTGGGGTAAGGAACTTGGAACTGGTACAAACCACCTTTAAGATCCCCTTACAGTAGTGTTGCCTTGGTTAGCTTGTCCTTAACAATACAGCAGTCAACATTAAACTTAACAAACACACTATTATCTCTAATAAACTTGGAAATGCTTAAAAGATTTTTAGTAATTTTGGGCACACACAAAATATTTTTAAGATAGAGACATTTTGAATGCAAAGTACTAGGTAAAAAGGACCAGCCCATATGTGAGATAGGTAGGCACTTACCACTACCAACTTAGAGCTAATTTCCACCGTGATAAGGCTAACTTATGTTCAAATGGCTGAGATCTGATGCTACATGATTAGTAGCTCTAGAATCCATGTACCAGATATGATTTGTAGGAGTTAGTGAAGTGGCCAAAGCTGAATGTTGACTTTGCTGCCGAGGATGCGTTCGCATACCAGTAACATTATGAATGGGTTGAGCAACACTAGTAGATGACAGGAAGGCTTGATTAGTACCTGAATCTTGTTGATTGGGTACTACAAGAAATGGTGAGGGAACAAAATCACCTCTTAGTTGGGAAGCATTAGTGTTAGTGTGAGAATAGGGAGAACCAAATTGTGGTGGTGATGTTTAAGAAAGGTTCTAATAAGAGTCATACTGTTGTGGCTGAGATGATTGAGGAAATTGAAACATCCCTTGAGTGTGCGAGGATTGTGAACCAGGTATTTGTGTGGATTATGCACCAATATTATAACTACCATGATAAGTTCCAGTATATGTAGCATTAAACCTATGATAGCAATGAACAGCTGAGTGACCAACTTTATGACAAACTTGGCATATTATCTTATTTCTACAAGTAGTTCGTCCTTTACCTCTCCTATAATTCTAAAAACCAGGTGGTCTTGGACTATTCAAAGGAACATTAGGATAGTAAAATGGTCGTCCTCTGTTTCCTATTCCATAAGCTTCTATGACAGGTACAAGATTGTTTTGATGATAGTGTGGATTCCCTAGTGAGATAAGTGAGGGAACAGTATTAGGAAAGAGGTTAGAGGAAGTTTGAACTCCTCCAGTTGAGCAATGTTTTAAAACCCAACCCGGGGTGAAATCCGACAAAGTTTTCGGGTCCCGGGTTGACTGCTGGTCAAATCGGTTGATAAAAACTTTTAAAATTAAGCAAATACACCCCTAAAAATTATATGTAAGTCCCTATAAGTTTGAAACTTATCAGACACACCTAAATGCAAATTGACCGGTGACTGATTGGCGCAGCAACACCCCAGATGCAACCCTAATCATCCCTTA